TCCCAAATAAGTGAATGAATTTAACGCACTAATGTACGAATTGGCGAGTGAACGAACGATCTCCTGCGGGCACAAACAAATGAACGTGGGATGAATGAGCATGCAGTTAGCGGCTATCTTTAAAACGGGAACGGGGAATCGGAAAACGGGAATGCGGAACGGGGAACGGGGAATCTTTAAAATGGGAATCTTTAAAATGGGAATCTTTAAAATGGGAATCTTTAAAATGGGAATCTTTAAAATGGGAATCTTTAAAAGCGGGAATATTTAAAATGGGGAATCTCTAAAAGCGGGAATCTTTAAAATGAGGAATCTTTAAAAGCGGGAATCTTTAAATGCGGGAATCTTTAAAATGGGGAATCTTTAAAAGCGGGCATCTTTAAAATGTGGAATCTTTAAAAGCGGGCATCTTTAAAATGGGGAATCTTTCAAAGTAGGAATCTTTAAAATGGAGAATCTCTAAAAGCGGGAATCTTTAAAAAGGGAGAATCTTTAAAATGAGGAATCTTTAAAAAGGGGAATCTTTAAAATGGGGAATCTTTAAAAGCGGGGAATCTTTTAAATGGGGAACTCTGTCACTCTTGGAAAATAACCCAAATTCAAAGCTAAGCAAGTGTCATACGCATTTTCTCTTGACAGCATGGGTTGGATCAATTGCAATGGTGGGCANAAAGGGGGAATCTTTAAAATGGGGAATCTTTAAAAGGGGGAATCTTTAAAATGGGGGAATCTTTAAAATGGGGAATCTTTAAAAGCGGGGAATCTTTTAATGCGGGAATCTTTTAAATGGGGAACTCTGTCACTCTTGGAAAATAACCCAAATTCAAAGCTAAGCAAGTGTCATACGCATTTTCTCTTGACAGCATGGGTTGGATCAATTGCAATGGTGGGCATAGGACTTTATGGTCCTCTTATTGGGAGGCTTTATCAACGATTTGGTGCTCGACTTGTGTCATTTTTTGGATCCTTGATCTGTATTGCCAGTCTCATTGCAACATCAAAAGTCTCCAATCTTTATGTCATGTTCGTAACATACGGAGCTCTGTTCGGTTTTGGATCAGGGTGTATTTTTATAGTTACGTACATTGCCGTGCCAAGTTACTTCACAAAGTGGCGCTCGCTGAGCCTGGGACTAATAGCAATGGGGCCCGGTGGAGGGCTATTTATCATGAGCCCAATCGTACAACTGCTTTTCGAAAACTTTGGTTGGAGACGAACGTTTCTATCTATGGCTGGCATTGATGTCTTAATGTGTCTTTTGGCCTTTGTTTACCGACCAGTAGTGTTAGATTCTGAGAAAGAGGAACTGAAGACAAACGAACAAAAAGAAGACAAGAAGTTCTGGGACATTTCACTTCTTAAACACAAAGCATTCGTCCTCTCTTCGTTGGCAGGAGTTATCTTTTACCTTGCTCACTACATTCCACCCGTGCATATGGTAAGTCTGAAACAGTGTTATAGGCACGCAGGGCGTGCAAAAGGCGCAAGGTGTGCAGCCGGGTCAAAGTAGCTTTAGCTCTTTTTGCGCATTGCAGCTTAGTGCTAGGTAACAATGTCACTTTGTTCTATAGATATGCAATACGAGCAATGGGCACAATATTAAGATTTATTAAAACCTGGATCATTGGATAAAGCAATTCGAGAGTTTTTATTGGCTTAGCCATCATAGGTTTTGAGCCATTATACCATGCTCTACAAATACGCGTGATTTGTTTGGTCGTTTTTATTTCTATTTTAGTCTAGTTTTCTATACTGTGGGAGCGTTAACAATGAAACAATTATTCCACTCGCGCTTGTTGGATCATCCTGACATGAGATGATTGT